GAAGAAATATCCTATATAGAGCTGTCAACGATGCTCGCGAGGATGTTGCAAGCCTTACCCGATTAGGAGGCCATTGGCTAGTCGTGCATCGCACCTAACCTCTACTAATCTAATCTACTTAATATGCAGCCTTTGCAGCTAATCAACGCAGGCCTTAATATTCGGCTCAACCTCTTAAACCTTGAGTGCTTACCAAGCCTCAGCTTTATGTCCTTATAGCACATGCAGGCAGTGATGCTATCGATTATCTAGTAGAAAACGTTTAGAGTATCTAGTAACCACCTACAGGCTGTGCACCACGTATAATTGACTGCGAAGCATGCTTATAGAATAAAGCTCATTAGATTATCTCTCGTCGTATGGGACATAAGATTGGCGCTTCTCGTCTATTTGAGACAGTTGTAATCAATATTATTAAACTCGACGTTATAGGCTACAATGGGCATCGATACATATTCCACGCCTTTGATCTGTACACGAAATTCAACTTCGTATACTCGATTCTAAAACGCGATAAGGAGACCCTACTTAAAGTAATCACTCGCCTAGATCGTACGATTAAACGGGAGTTTAATACTACTGTTACATTTATAATAGCTGATGACGAACGAGGCTATGGACTGACAGATGACTCAGCGCGTGCATACTGCCAACAAGAAGGAATCAGATTCCAAATCAGGGCTCCACATACGAAAGAGCAGAACGGCTTTGCAGAAAGATTAGGCAAGACTCTAAATGACTGCTTACGATCTATACTAAGCACGTTAAAACTACTACTCTATCTTGCTCTAGAGATATACGTTACTGTAGGCTATCTCCTTAACCGTACGCCTACGCGGTCAATCAGCTAGAAAACACTATTTGAAATAGGGTACTGCAAGAAGCTATCAATAGCTTATCTTAAAATATATGGCTGCCGAGCATACGTACTACGCACGCAGATACCGCGAGGTGATAAGCTTACTCCTTGTGCTCTTATAGGCTACCTCGTTGGCTATAATATATTAAATATCTACAGAATCTGGATACCAAAAGCAAAGGGCAAAGCACATCAGGGCAAAGTTATTCGTACACGCGATGTAACGTTCAGAGAGGACATATTCTACTAAGCTTTTGATAGTTAAGATCCACTACTACAAGGCGAAGAGATACAAGATGTTATATATACAATTTATATGCCACCACTGCAGAATCTAGAAGAGTCTTCTAAAGAAGAGGACGAAGGTGCTATAATAGCAGCCAGCCAGGATACAGATATACTAACTTCGTCTACACAAAGCACTAAAAAACCTTATGAGGATTACGATACAGGACACCTATCTCTGCCTACACTAGCTGTAATAGCTACTCTAGATCTAGACAATTACTTAGAACATCACCAAGTCTTACTAACTATAGCTAGCCACAGCTCTACACCTACTCTAGAGACGCAGCTATCTACTCGCAAATTAAGAAAAAGAAAGCGACGCGACTTAATAGAACGATTAGTGGACATAAATGCTGCCGCAAATCGCGAACTTATTGACGGTAATCTACGCTATTTACATATACTGCTAGAAGGAGTAGTAAGATCTAGGAAGCCTATACGTAAAAGTAGCAGCTTCTTTGTCCGTAAATACTGGTCCACGTTCGTAGCAGCATCTGTTAAAGCTCCAAAAACACGATTTCACTACTCAACGCTACCTCCTAAGCCACGTTTCTACTAAGATGTTATGAAGCTCTCTGCTGTATATAAGTAAGGCTTTATAGTAGTAATGCAACGTAAGATCTTAAATGTTAAGCGTAAAGATACGTATAAGACTATATCCTAGAAGTATTTTAATACTTAAGATACTGAAGTCCTGCCGCTGATATAGGTGTTTAAATATAAGCTTAATAACGAGGGATATCTAGTTAAATACAAGGCTAGAATCTGCGTTCGAGGCGATCTACAAGCGACAGCTGAGGATACATACGCTGCAACTCTAGCTACGCGCATCTTTTGAGGACTTATGGCTATCGTAGCATACTTTAATCTTGAAATACGTTAATACGACGCAGTTAATATATTCACTAATGCTTAACTTAACACGCCTATCTACTGCCACCTACCAGAAGGCTTCTCTAATGCCGAGCATCTGTGGGAACTACGCAGAGCTCTTTATAGGCTTAAGGCCTCACCACTACTGTGGTACAAAGAGCTTATAAAGACACTTAAAGAGCTAGGTCTTCAAGAAGTCAAAGAGGCACCTTGTCTTTGGCGCAATGAAAAGCTTATTGTCTT